CCAGAATTCCCCAGCCAGAATATGCTGGCTGAGGAATTCTGGGAGTTGAAGTCCACACGTCTTAAAGCGGCCGAGGTTGGGAAACCCTGCTCTAGAACAACGGATCTTGCAGTTCATTGGAGAACATGTTGCCATTGTTTACCAGTTATTTGTCTTTGTATGTATTTGATTATCTTTCCTGTCTTTCTGTTTGTAATAATCAATATGACCAGTATCCTAAAGCTATTTAGGAAATGCATCTCGTCCCTTCAGTTCGCACACTGTTTCTTAACGGATTTCCACCCCCAACGTTCCTTTATCATCCTCTTCTTCTCATTCTTCTCTCCCCTGTCCCCTTCCTTTCTCTGATTTCACCTGTCCTTTCCAGCCTAAAAAGGCAATCCCGTCGCGTCCGGCTGCCCCACGACCATGATGACCGCCGCATACGTGGAGCAGGGGGGGCACCTGCCGTGTGATGCCGGTGATGGAAGTGAAGCCCGTGCGCATCGATTCAACAGGAGGCTAGAAATTCTGAAAAGCCCTTAAAAAAAATAGCTGGTTCCGGGGCGCCCCGTTCTCTAGAACAGCCAAACATGTAACAAAGCATCTTAGCTAGATGGCCCTGAATATCATAGAAGAAACTAACCACTTCTTTTCCGTCTATATGTGACCAGTAGATAATGGTTTTAGTTGTATGTTGTATCGTCCAATTGGGGTCTGGAAAAAAAGGGTTTCCCCCCCGCCCCCAGTGAATTATGCCTCCATAGACTACATACCAAGATTTAAAAAAGGGATGTGTTGAAGACTGCATGAATTTGAGGAATATTGGACCTGCTCGATGAGGTGTTATTTTTTTTTTTTCAGAGTAATGTCAATGACTGTTCATGTTGGCTAGTGATTTTTTTTTTTATATAAAAACGAACTTTATATACGAACTCCTGACTCCTTACAGTGCATCATTTTGAGATCCTGCTTTGAGGCACACTCCCAACGTCTGAACGGGAGGGATCAATCAGTTGCGGCTCTTGTTTTAGCCTTGACACATGTGGAAACAGAATGGTCACGCTAAGCTGTGGCATGTTTAACTGTGCTGTGTAGCACAAATTTGTTTGCACACTACCCTGTGCCTAAACAGGGGTAATGGCTTGGTTGCAACTGAGTGCAATATCGGGGATGACTGGAGTATTGAATCAATAGCAGTGTTTCTCCACCTGGACAACATTGATATGTCTCGACTTCAACTCCCAGAATTCCCCAGCCAGCAAAGCTGGCCGCTTTAAGACGTGTGGACTTCCGCTGGCTGGGGAATTCTAGGAGTTGAAGTCCAGACATCAAAGTTGCCCAGGTTGAGAGACGCTATCTATAGGATGTACTGCCCACTATGTGACTTATTGCAGGCTCAGTGGGGAATATAGGGCAATATAATGGACTGTATTGTATGCACTGCCCTTGGGGGCTTGCTGGAGGATCAGAGATAGGACCCCATCTCTGCGGGAGATGAGCGGCGTATAAATTTAATTAATAAGTGAGCTACCAAGGTGTATGTTCTTTATGATAAATAAATGCATTGCTCTGCTTTCCCAATTGAGCCTGCAATACCCCAGGGAGCCACCAGGGGGTGATATGTCCTATGCAATAAATGCATTGCCCCAACTGAGCTCTGGAGCCTGCAATATTCAATACTGCCCGTTGGCTCATTGGGGTTCTCCAGGGTGAATGGGAAAAATAGGGCAATGTATTGAGTGTGCAGGACCTACTGCCCCCTAGGGGTTCGGTTGACAGGCATTGCAGGCGGCTTGGGGAAAATAGGGTCATGGCTTTATCATGGAATAGAGGGGTGGGTTTAATTTAAAGCACACACTCCCCCTGGTGGCCGGCTCGGGGCTTAAGCATTTAGCTCATACTGCCCCCCAATGGCTCGCTGGCATACTGCAGGCGCAATGGGAATGCAGGGCAAAGTGACATCAGCCCTGGGATATACTGCCCCCTGGTGGTTCGGTTGACAGATATTACAGGCCCCATAGAGAAAATAGGGTCATGGGTTTATCATGGACTGGGGGGGTGTTTCGCTTAAAGCACACACGGCCCCTGGTGGCTCACGGGTGCACTGCAGGCGCAATGGGGAATATAGGGCAATGCATTGAGCGTGCAGGACCTACTGCCCCCTGGTGGTTCGGTTGACAGACATTGCAGGCCCCATAGAGAAAATAGTCACGGGTTTATCATGGACTGGGGGGGGTGAGTTTCACATAGCACACACTGCCCCTGGTGGCTCAGGGGTGCACTGCAAGCTCAGGGAATGTAGGGCAAAGTAACGGCTGCCAGAGGGCACTGCCCCCGGTGGCCGGCTCGGGGCTTATGCATTTAGCTCATACTGCCCCCGATGGCCCACGGGCGTACTGCAGGCGCAATGGGAACGCAGGGCAAAGTGACATCAGCCCTGGGACGCATGACCCCCCGCTGGTTCGCGGGGCATTGCCCGCTCCGTGGGAAAAGCACGCACCGATCTTCGAGGGCCAGCTGGCCTCTGAACCGGGACCCTTCCCCTCCCCCGGGATCTCCTGGTAGCCTCCCGACCCTGCCGGGGCGTGGCCAGGCGGGGGAAGGGGAGGGGCGGCGCGCCCGCAGTCGCCGCCCCGAAAGCGAAACC